GAATTGGCTTGTTAGACGGCCCTCACACTTGGTAAGGCAAATCCCATCCTTTCATGTATTTATACCTGCTCCTGTATTTTCCACTCCAAGCATCTGATGAAGTGGGTTATAGCCCACGAAAGCTTATGCCTAAATAAATGTGTTAGTCTCTAAGGTGCCACAAGGACTTCTTATTGTTTTTGCTAATAGAGCCTCAGTGAACTACCCTACGCCACAAGAGGGAGTCCCTAGACCATGGAAAAAAATTGTTTCTGGAATATCTTCCCTGTGACCTTCTGAGAGACAAGGTGGATGAAGTAATATCTATTTATTTTACTTCAGAAGTTGATCCAATAAAAGATATTACCTCACCCACCTTGTCTCTGCAATATCCTGACATGGCTACAACAGCACTGCATACTGTGAACCTTCAACATTATGGGAAACAGGACAAAGTGATACAATATTTGAGGAGAACTAGCTTTGCCCAAGTCATATCTTATTGAATATTCATGAGCAGACCATGCTTGGCTAACATTTAACTCTGACCTTATTCTTATCTTTCCCTGTCTGTGACTTATTCTTCTGTCACTGGATTTTTAGGATACACATGTACAGTGACAGTCATGAAAACTGTTGTGTTATCATTGCTGCACAAAGTAAGGGCACCAAATTGCTTCTAAATTGAGTGACCATTGATACTGAAGAAGCACAATCATTGTGCACCTGTATTCTAAACCCATGTGGACTGTTCTTGCTAGAAGCTTTCAGGGAACAACAGATGTTCACCACCTCTGAAAACTAGGCCTTGTCTCCAGTTGGTTACTGAAAAACTGAGCCAACCAAAATTAGTGGATACTTTTGAATATTTAGGCCATAATATATAAGGCAAATGAACAGCACCACTGTACTCACCACACTTGGCAAGGTATCGCAAAGCATCTAACTGCCCACCCTCGGCAGCTACAAATAAAGAGGTGATCCCATAGGTGTTCTTGCTTTCAATCTTGGCTCCCCCTTTGATCAGGATATCAATTATTTCTATGTCATTCCGAGAAACGGCCTCATGGAGAGCAGTCCATCCCCGATTGCACCGGTGGTTTGCATCGGCATTGTACTGCACCAGCATCCTTACAGCTTCGATGTTTTTGCGTTCACAGGCTGTTTTAACAAAAGGCAGGTCATTTAGGCCAAACTTTTCAAGAGGCCACTAACTCTGGGTGCCGCAGTTCTGGGTGCCCATTACAACACGCTAGAACCTGAGGTACCTAGAATCACAGGCACAGACGCTTGCTTCTTCTTTGCCCCGGGGGTGCTCAACCCCAGTCCTCCCCTGACCCCGCTCCCACGCCACCCCTTCCCTCAAGCCTCCACCCCCACCCTGCTTCTTCCTGCCCCCACTCCGCCCCTGCCCTGCTTCTTCCCACTCAGTTCCACTCCCTCCCTGGAGCGTGTCCCATTTCCGCTCTTCCCTCTCCTTCCCAGCGCCTCCTGCATGCCGTGGAACAGCTGATCCCTGGTGGGCAGAGGCGCTGGGAGGGAGGGGGAGAAGTTGATCGGTGGGGCCGCCGGCGTCCGGGAGGCACTGAGGTGGGGGGAGATGGCTGCTGGTGGGTTTTAAGGACCCACTCATTTTTTCTATGGGTGCTCCAGCCCTGGAGCACTCATGGAGACAGTGCCTATGATCACAGGCCACTTTTCCAAGCTCTGGCCATAATGTATTGTACATCACATGTTGATATGGGCTAGGACAGTACAATGGCAATGTCTTTGTAAGCCAAAGTATAATTCTTCATGATGCCATCATTTCTCCTGTGGGTTGATTCTTTCCTTGATGAGTGGGTACAGGTCCCACTATCATTAATGCATGTCATTCACATGCATTGAGAGTGGACTATCTGACCTGACATTACAGCAATTATCTATCCATGGCAGCTTTGCAAAATTCAGCTCACCCACATTCCAAAAGGTAAGTAATTTTTTCATCATCATGGTAGAGGGTGAGTGTAACAGGGTATGCTGGCCCTTTAAGGAAAGAGGAATTAGGGAGGGGAAAGATCCAGGCTACCCCATTCCAAGTAGCTTCAACTGTATAAAAACCCTGGGAGCAGCAGGGACAGATGTGGGCAGAGTGAAAGAGGTCCTGAGGTAAGATATGAGAAGATATGACTGTCTTTTTAAGGAGCCTTGTAATGAAGGGTGGGGCAATGCTCCTTTCTCTCCCAATCAAGCCTCCAACCAGTTAAAATAAAACCCTGGAAGAAGGGCATCACATAAGGCAGAGGGAAAGATTGTTCTGCTAGTAATCCTTCAACCCCACTCCCAGAAGGAGCAGGAGTGACCTGGGTTCTCCTTGACAGGCCTTGGAAGAGAAGTGTGAAATGCCTCCGGCCAGGAGGAGCACTGGGAAGAAATCTGTTGGTTATCAAAGTTTGAGTTTAAGATCATTTTGACTTTGAAAGACTTTGGCAAACATGCCCAGTGAAGCTGGTGCCAGGAAATTTAAAGGGACCCACCAAGAAATAGGTAATACACTGCCTGGGTAATAAACTGCCACCTGTGGGCAAGCAGATTTTGTGTTGAGGCTAGTAAATTTTTGTAACAGTTTTCCAAGGCTGGATGTGCTTCCATATGCTATGTTTTGGCCCATCTTTTATATTTATTGAAAAGTGAAACAGTCCCTTAAATCTGGTAGCCTATTTTGGGCCAGAGTTTCAAAATCCAGTGTCAAGTTGGGTGTCCATAAATCCAGGCACTCAAAGAGAGTGGCCACTTTGTAAAATCTGAGCCTATACATTTAAGACTAGGCTAGCCAGAGCACTAGAAAGAGTACCATGGGCACTAGACAGAGCACTACAGAAAGTGCCGTGGGGAACCATCCATTCACAGGGAGATGGACCTGATGACCTAAGAGAACTTTTCCTTCTCCAAACTCTGATTCCATGGATTTTGTGTGGTTTTGCTGAATAAAGTGTTCTCAACACAAAGCCTGTACATTTGTGCCTTTGCCCACACTATAAGTGAATGACTGACATCTTCTTGGTTATTTTTGCGCTGATATCTAATAGGTGCTTTGAATTTTGTATTTAAAAAGACACATACATACTCATATAGAAACAACATGGGCTTGATCTTCGGAGGTGCTGAGCACCTGCCACTTCAGTTGAAATCTAGGGGGCTCAGCATCTCTGAAAATCAGGCCATTTACCTTTATAGAGTGGAGTCTCCCTGGACTTGTTTGTAATATCAGGTTCAGCCCCGGCTTGCAGCAAAGAAAGTAGACAGTCCAGGTTTCCCCTGCTTGTTGCTATGTACAGCGCTGTCTCTTCCTGAAGCGTACGCTGATCAGTGGTTCCAGGGTATGCTAATGAGATGTCATTGTTCATAGTTAGTAAGGCATATAGCACATGTTGTCTAACTCTGAGACTGTGAACGCCGTTGCTAATCATTTTGGGGCAGGGATGATCTAAGTATACTTGGTCCTGTCTCAGTGTGGTGAGGATGAACTAGGTGACTTGAGGTCCCTTCCAGCCTTACATTCCTATGATGATTTCAAACATGAAACACCAAATGCTAGGAAATTACCCAAGAGATAGCTTTGCCATGCCATCCAGATCAGATTCCAGGATTCTCTGCAAAACCACCAAAAACTCTCTGATAAGAAACATTTTTAAAAAGAGGAAAATAAAATCACTTGACGTTACATATCACTCCAGATATTAACATTGCAGTAAAAATGGCATCAGAAATCAATGCTGCAGTAAAAATTGCATCAGTGAGTTTGCTGACACATTAAATTGCTTTCATCTATACAGCTGGCCTGCATTTAGACAGTCATAGCAATACATGCTGGCTAACACTCAGCCTTAGAGGTGATGCATTTTCTGGTTATCAGTAAGAGGCACCTTATTGCACTGATGGAGAAATGAACCAACATGTTAGCGATGGATCTGAAGCAGAACACAACAACCGAGCCCCTCGAAGTGCAGATCAGGTACAGATGAGGATTCAAAGTTCAGGACTTGGGCCTGGGCCTGCCTGTACGTGGGATAAAGTGAAACACCAAATCTGAACACCCCTGAGCTTTGGGGGAAGTTTGGCTATGGAGCCAAATCTGGATGTAAACATCATGACTCAGGCCCATCTCTAGCCCATCTCTGCTGGGGTAATCCAGGACCCAGAGGGGTGGAAAATTTGCCATGCTACTGCATAGAGTGTCTGTAATCCAGCTCCTCTCACTGAGGGGCTCATAATCAATCAGCACAAGCCGCGAAGGTGACTGGCACTGGCTAGAAGCAAGATGTGACCAGCGTGTTCCCTGAGAACAGGGTGACTCAGGGCAGCCCTTGGGCATACTCTGCTGGTGAGGCTCCTGTGAAGTCCCAGCCACAATGTAAAGCTGCCATGCCCCACTGGAAAGCCGGGGGAAGGGTGATGATGCTGTCTTCAGTGGAAGGGGAGGCAGAGGACGGGAGTCTGCATGAGGATCAGAAAGGTGCAACCTGTATCTGCCAGTGCTGACAGTGCCTTTTATTGGATGAAATAGAAATAAATTGGAGGGGTTAGAGCATAAGCCAGTGCACCCCAGAGCAGTGCTCCTGCTGACCATGGGTATGCAGCCAGCATGCCATTTGCTTTGACATCTTGGAGCCCAGTGTTTGGATCTATGTGTTCTGATGCCCAAAATCTGCACTGCATTTTCTTCTTTGAGGCACTTTAACTCTTCAAAATATTTCAGGGTCCCTTCCCCTCCCCCCAAATAAACAAAGTCAAAGTAGGTTGAGATCATCCTGTAGGTTGACTATAAAATAGGTTACAGAACAATAAATTGGACACTAAATTAGGTTAAAATGTTAGAAATGTAGGTTGACTATAGCTACTGGTGATTCGAAAAGCAATTGAGCAACTGCTCTCCAATGGGAACTCAAAACCAAAAGTAAACCAGAAGCCCATTATTAACTATTAGCAAACAGAGGCCAGGCCAGATCTTCAGCTGGAGTATATTGGTGTAGCTCCTCTGACTTCTCTGGAGTTACATTGATTTACACCAGCTGAGGTGTAAATGGGAGCTGGGGGAACAGCGTGGGCCGCAGGTAGGTGCTGGCTGCCGCTTCCCACAGCTCCCATTGGCCGGGAATGGTGAACCGCAGCCACTGGAAGTGCGGGCCGCTGTGCCTGCGGACAGTCAATGTAAACAAACTGTCTCGCGGCCCACCAGTGGATTACCCTGATGGGCCGCGTGTGGTCCATGGGCCGCAGGTTGCCCACCACTGATCCAGACCATTATTTTATACCCTAAGAAACCTGATAATATGCGGCAGGCCAACATCAGCCCAGAATAGCACAGATATCTCTCAGCACTTAAGATCTTAACTGTTATTTATTGTGTACAGACTGCAAGCTGCTTATTCAAATAGGGTGAAATTCATACAAATGCACAAGGCTTGAGTAAAGGGTCTTTTTGCGAGGAACTGAACAAAGATTGGTGTGATGTACTGAAAACTCTGTTAAAATTGTAGCTTGTCACGTTAAATTTCAGGATTTTTCCTGATCCTGCTTGCTGTCTATGGGGCTCTGTAGGAAAGTGTGTCATCTGGGCCTGGCAGCACTCAGTCTGCAGCCAGCTGGCCTACAGTAAGGTGGAGTGAGCTGTGCCACTCTATTTCAGGGAACAGCCTTCTGTGTCCCCCTCTGGTTTTAGGTTCTTGTGTGTTATCTAAGAAATAAAGCAGTGTTACACTGCAACCTTTCAGCAAGAATATTTATCTCTCTCTGTGTGTATGCCATGAACAGAACATGGGGGTGGTTATATTTTCTTCTTTGGGGCTGATATTTTTAGTTTCTCTTCCATTTGTAATCAGTTGTTTTTATTTTACTAACCTCTTTGCAACACTTTCAGGCAGCCTACTTGGCCGTAGTAGGCAGCTTCGTGCAGTGGTATCCATCCATCCTTATTAGGTTCGGAAAGGTTCTTCCCTGATTTCATCATATTGAGCAGGGCACTTTCATCTCCTTCCTTGATTGCTTCCACTACAGGATCCAGCTCTCTTTAAAACAATGTTGAAAATCAATTACATTTTGCAGCGTTACAGTAAAGCTTTTTACAGCATCAACCAAGAATGACTGTGAAAGCCTAGGGCCCACCTATGCAAACTAAAATGGCAAGATTTTGGTGGCTCTGGGGTGCACTGGCTGCAATGGACACTAGTGCTATAGGACTATGTGATTCTACTCACATATACTGCTTTCCTCTAAAAGGTAACTCGGGATGGTCAAACCTGTCCAGGAACCTCTTTCCAATGCTTCTCTCCAAACTCACACCTAACCTGCACCGAACTTTTCTGAGGTTTGAACAAGTTTGTTTAACTGTGTACAAGAAATGAGCCCAGAAGTAGAAATGCTGAAATACCATGAGAGATTGTTCTTGTGGTATTTCTGGAAAGCAGGAAGTGCTGGGAACCTCACAAGAGAGTCTATTCTGGGAAGATAGCTGGTCTAGTTTCTCAGAAGTCAGTGATGTAATTCAGATCAACACCTGAACCTTTGTGTAATGATCTGAACTCACCTCCATTGAATTAAGGAGTGGAAGAGAAAAGCTGTCCACCCCAATGAAACTCCAAACATGACACAGGAAGGACTAGGTATTAAAAAATGCTCAGCTTCTGCTTCGGCACCAAAATATGTGGCCAGATTTTCAGAATGTTGGATGTTGTGTTCCTTTGAAAATCTGTCTGTAGGAATCACAATGGGAGCTGCTGAAAGCTGAACAGTTGTGGAAAAACTGGTCCTTTTTAAAGTACCTATATGGTATCTGAGCTCTTGAAAATCTGCCCCTTAGCTCTTTAGAAAATCCCTAAAGACACCTTCCTGAAAATCCCCCACCCAGGTGAGTAGTCTTCATTCCCATGAGTAGTTCTTTGAATAAAAACTACTGGTGTGAGTAATGGGTTTGCTGGACCAGGCCCTACCTGCTTTAGCCAAGCAGACTCCGCTACAGCCTGCACGTTTAACGAGTGTCACACTGGAGCCCTTGTGTGATTGGCCTGCAGCACAGCTGGTCAGTATAAAAAAATAAACACTCTGCTGCTTGGATTCTGTCAGAAACACGACAACTTCTGCAGCGGGAGCAGGGAGGAAGCGGGCAGTTTTTTAAAATACATCTGAATCTTGTGAACTGCTACTGCATCTCTAAGGCAGGTAGCAGGCGGCTGAATTCCCACTGCAAGAGCGATTAGGGAGGGGGTCTATTCTGAGTAGTCCAGAGCAGGTGGGCAGGAGCACAAACGGTGCAGGAAGCATCTTCTCTTCCCAGCACTCCATTCAGGCCCCAGGCAGAATGATGCTACTGGCTCTCCCTGAGCGTATGGGGGTTTGTAAGGGCTTGGCCAGCTTAACTGGGGGGTGTGACCAAGGCTCCCACACATACACATATCCAGTCACATTCCTGCTAGCACCCACAAGCAGGTGGGCAGGGTAATTTAGGTTGCCCCTTTCTGCAGTGAGTGCTCAGTGCACTCTCCTCGACACATCCTCCCAGGCATTGTGCCTGGGACATGCAGACACCATGCAGGTGTTCTCCCTCCCCCCAGCTCTTTCACAGGAGTATGGGCACAGTTTGGTCTCCTCCCCCTGTTTCATCTTCCCTGTCTGATCTCTCTATCTAACCTATCCAGCAGTTTCCCCCAACAGTAGCTGTACTCAGCCAAGCACATTTACGCTCTTTCAAAAGGAAGTCCAGCCTGCAATGGCAGCTTCCCCTTTGGGGTAAGAGCCACAGCCTGCGAGGAGGAATGTCACGGCCCCTCTTGAGAGCGTGGGAGAGGACATGTACCCCTGCACGTAGGAGCCCTGTACAGTGACCAGATGAGACTCACGCTGTCCTGAAGACATTGACCAAGCACACTGACAAGGATCAGGCTTCTTCACTCAGATTTGATGCCCCTTGATGTGTTTATGTTCCTGTTTCCCAGGCTCTACCTCTGAACTTCATACAGATGCAGTTAAAAATAACACCCGCCTGATTCAGTTGTGATTGCTACATGGAAGCCAGCGTGTATAAATAAACCACAACACACACATCCCTTTTCCTCTCTCCCCTGCCATCTCAGTGCTGTCTAGGGACCCACAGAAGCCTGCACACATGCAGTAGAGTGCGGGGGGTCTGTAGGGCTGAATAGCCCAGGAGTGACTGAGTGTGTGTAGGGGGCTCGGGGGCAGGCAGGGGAGGGCAGGCAGGGTGGACGAGGGAGGAAATGAATAAGATTCCCTCAGGCAGTTCTATGCATTCCTCCCGACACACATAACGCCACAACCCCCGCCACCCAAAAGCCTCCAGCTGGCTAGTGAGGGCAGACAGACAACAAGGCTAATTTGGAGCAAGACACAGTGAGACAGAGACACTTACACAGGCTGGGGGGTGATGAACAGGCTGCCGTCGTACCTTCGTCTGACCCCCCAAGATGACCCTGGAGCTTGGCCTCCGGTCTGGGCTGCCAACCTGGAGTAACGATGGCACGAATGAAATAAAGAGAAATACTCTGAATAGGAGAAACAGGTCATTTTCGGGCCCCTTACTAAAGGCAGGAGCAGAAAGAGGGACAGAGAGAGAAGGAGCCTGCTGCCGGGGCTTTGAATGAAAGCAGATGGCCACAGCTTGCTCTGTGCAGAACTCAGCTGCTCTCTCAGCTCTGGATTATTTTTGGCCCACTGAGGAAGTGTCAGGGGATTTGAATGACCATATAAGACAACACTGAGGTTAACCTCCCCACACTAGACAGGAGGAAGATACAGAGCTAGATGACATTCTTCACCTCAAGGAAAGGAGGATCTGAGAGCACAGTCAGATGAGGAAGTCTGGTGAGGGGTTGAAATAGGGTCATTAGCACTGTGCATTCAGGAACAGGCCTCATGCTGGACCTTACCCTACCAAGGTCCTAGGCCAGCTAAAAACCTAGGGCCACAAACCTTCCTGCAGGCTTCCATACCTGCCTAGTTATAGGGTGGGCAGGCTGTGCCCTTGCAGAGCACGGGAGCTCTAAACTGCTGAGCTCAGGCAGAGGTGGGAGAGCACCAGTCAGTATGCAAGGCAGCAGATGCTATCCTGTGCTAAAATCAGCAGGTGGCAAGGGACGCTTCGGAGTACAGGGCCAAAGCTGACAGATCTGCCCTTAACCTGCCCCATATCAGATCCCCATTTCAGACCCTATGCTAAGCAACATGACCAGGCCCCACAACAGATCGTATATCAGGCGCTATACAGAAGTACCTCCACCATATCTTGTAATACTACAATAATCACAGTGGGTACAATCCTGGCCCCATTGAAATCAATGGAAATGTTGCCAGGATTTCACTCTGTGTATATATGACACCCATCACATTGTTGGGGGTCTGTAATAAATTGGTCACCATAAGATTACAATTAGAGCTGTCAAAAATACACAAAATATATAAAAATTGTTGTTCTTTTGCAGGGTGTGAAATGCACCTTTTATTTTTTGATTATTTGATTTTTTGTAGCATTTTTTTAATGAACTTTTCCATCTTTTTTGAGAATTTTTCATTTTTAAAAATGAAAATCAAAAATGTTTGCTTTTGAAAATGGCAGGTTCCTGTAACCCAGTGGGGTGCTTAGGCGTCGGCACTGAGCGTGACATTGTGTGGGAAGAGGGGTCTGCCTAGATGTGGAGTTACTCTGGTGCACCTGGGTGTCCGTGAGCTCAGAATTTGTGCCTAAGTAAACAAAAGCAATATGTTTGTGACACCTCAGTCATGTTTATAGCCGTGTGTTTTATATACATAGTTTGGTTCTTTTGTGTGGGGGGAAAAATCAGAACCTTTCCACATTTTTTCATAAAAATCCTGCAAGCCTCACCTGAGCAGAACTAACTCAGGAAAGCTCTCTGTTCCCTGCGGAGCAAGGAGGCTGCCACCTGAGTGAGGACTCTTTAGGTAAGAAAAGGTTGCAGGACTGGTCCAGTGTTTTGCACAGATACACAACTTTTAGCAGACATTTGGGCCCAAGTTCTAATCCAATTGACAATGGTATCATGCCAGAGTAACGCCGCTGACTCCAGTGGAGCTACCCCAGCGGCAATGAGATCAGAAGCTGACCATTGTAAATTCATTACAAGCTGATCTGTTAAATGAGTTTCCATGCTGTTTTGTAAAACTGTCTGGAAAGCCATTTTTCAATGGGGCTTTGTGAAGACCCACCTCACTCACACACTCACCTGTGCCAAGGATTGATCTGGTGTGGTGGATTATGAGAGCAAGGACGTGTCAACGTAGGCGGCTCTCCTGGGGCTGTCATGACTGATTTCTGATGACTCTGGGCAGCTGACTGACCTGAGGGATCCTCTGTCAGGCTCTGTTCTATGGCCAGTTGAATAAGCTCGTCTTCACTCATGCTACTGTACAGACTGTACTCCTCATGACCTATTGTTTCTCTTTGGGTGTTTGTTGTGGCCGTAATCTTTGTAGCCATCTTCTGCCTGCCTAGTCCAGGGGATAAGAAGAAACTGTAAAAATCAAAATTTTGAAAATGTGAAGCGACATTCAACCATCTTGTGTCCAGGGTCAGATCTGTAACTTGACTTATACTGACCAGGAGTCTGTAGCATATTTTCAGTTGAGGAGAAAACACATTTTAGCGAATCCACTGGAGGCGACATTTAAACGTAATGGGCCTGATTTCTCTTTTTCTCTTTTAGCCCTCTTATAATAATTGCACCTCGCGGACCCAGCTAATTTATCTCTTGCTAAGTGGGAGAAGTTACAAGTGAGTAAAGCATACTTTCTTCTGCTTCCTTCAGGTTAGGGCACTTCTGGGCAATAAGATGTAGTGGAAATCCCCCAAGGGATTAAGAGAACACTGTCAGTTTAAAAATGAATCAGAGAAAACATTAACACGTCCCCCTCTGTGTTACTGTCCTACTTGTCTTTGCTTATTGAAGATGGAAGTTGCTGGGCCAGATCCCCAGATGGTGTAAAGCAAGATAACTGTTGATTTCAATGGAGTTAATCCCGTTAGCTGAGGATCTGGCCTGCCAGGCCCTTTTCACCCTTTACGCTATTAGGTTACTTTCTGTAGTGCGCTCAGCTTGAACAGCAAAAAGAGACTATCAGTTTCACTTCTGTGTGTCTGCTCCCTCTCCTGACAGCAGCACTTCTGCAGGCCCATGTTCCGGTTGGTCACTCACCCCTGGCCTGTGCTAAATCCTCGGCTTTTCAGGGCTGTGCAGACACAAGGGCTGATTCTCTGCTGCCCCCCACCTTGTGCACTCATTTACACGTGTGCAAAGAGGGTGTAAAATGCTACCCAATTGGAATGGCAGTGATTGATGCCTGCTTTGCATTCACTCTCTGCAGGTACGGTATATGAGACTACACAAGGCGCTGACTGGTGGAGAATTGGTTTCAAAGAGCCCAAGTTCATTTCACATATCCACTTGGATGGGAGCATGCTGTACAGTGTGTCTACCGCCCTGTCTCCTTCCTCCCTCAAATGTGCACTAAGCCTCAACATTAAAACCAGGCCGTGTGTCTCCCATAGGATTTGGAGGAGGGGGAAGAAAGGAGCATGCAGCGGGGACAGCATTCCTCCTTCTGGCACTAGCAGAGGAGTGAATATGACTCCTACGGTAGATAATCACCTCTTTGGGAGAAATAAGGAGAGGTTGCATTTAAAGAAAGAAAAAAAAATCTGAGGGGCTTGCAGCAGCTGCCCTGTTGGTTAATCCTTAAAGGCAGGTTGCTACCCTTCCAAGATGCTTAAAAGCAGCTTATAGGGAGTAGGAGAGACCCAGGGAGCTGGCTCCTTAGAGGAAGTAATGCACAAGGCGGAAAAGCAAACAGCCGGTTAATGCTGCTACTCCAGTGGAAATAACTTTGCTAGCAATGGGGTTTCTAATAGGGAAACAAGAGCCAGGTGCAACTGTGCCAAAAGAGAGTTTCTGGTAGTGGAAAGCCAGTGAGTCCCTATTCCTTGGACTGATTCTCATTGGTGCAGATCTCCATCAGCTCTGCAGGATCCATGAGGGCCTCTCATTAGGGCTGTTATGTGTCAGTTGTTCAGCCCAACCGTTGCATCCCTTTTTAGGTGCTCTCCTTGCTGTCCGATTGCAATCGACATTTGCCAAGTATTTTGTACACCGCCATAAGCAAAATAACAGGCTAGCTCAAAATGACTGTGAGGAGTCACATTTGTAAAGCAAGGTCTAACAGAAGAGAACAGCCTGGGTTCTTGGGAGGGATGTCAGGCACTGACAGACCTGTAGCATTTGTACTGCGCTAAGCACACTGTAAAATGCCCCCCACACCCCACCCCAGAGTCTCTCTCTCTCACTCACACTCTGTAGGGAGTCATATAACCTTTTAAAAAAACAACGAGGAGTCCGGTGGCTCCTTAAAGACTAACATATTTGTTAGTTTTTAAGGTGCCACCGGACTCCTTGTTGTTTTTGTGGATACAGACTAACACGGCTACCCCTCTGATATATAACCTTTTGTTGCTCTAGACCACCATTCATTCCCAATCACCCTAGGTGTCTGTGCCAGTTTACTAGACTAAGAACTCTGCTCTGCCAGCCCCCTGTGTAACTGCGCACTCTCCATTTCGATCTCTGGATCACTAGACTGCAGCTAGTGGAGAACATAACCCTCTGGTAGGGGTTATGGCAAGTACAGATGCATGGAACGTGAGCAGCAGTGGTGCATCAGAGCCAGGCACACAGGCATATCACTATGGTCCCAGGAGCTTAGAGTATCTCATGTTCCAGCTACAATATGTTACCACTGCTCTAAACTACCTTTACAGATGTTGTCTGTAGGGCAGAGGAGACAGCTCTGATGCTCGATTTTACAGTGGTAGAGGGTTGAGTCAAAGCCTGTGAAGATAGTCTTCATTCATATTTCCATTGAGAGGTAGGATGTTTTCTCTGATTACCATTAAAAAAAATCAGTGGAACTGTCTTTGAAGCATTGAAAGAAAATGTAAGAGACTGAGTAAAACCTACAAAAGCAAGGAAATGTAGATTTAAGGACTCACCTTTATTCTCATTTCTCCTGCTATGCAAAGTTCCACGGGGTATATAACACATGTGATTACTGCCTGCACTGATCTCAGACTCCAAGCACCACAGAAGCAAAAGAGGGAAAATTAAGGGTGGAGAGTCACCCTTAATGTTGTATGTATTAGATCATGCCTGGAGTGGTAATTTGACTATTAAGGGGTACAATATGTAAGCTGTACCTCACAACAGTTGTCTAAGTAAAAGGTTGGAGGCTTGAAGTTCTTCAACCCTGTTTTATGCCAGATCTCACAAGGCTGATATTTGATTATTGTCTTCAGTGATAGCTGGCATGCAGGCAGTGACAGCCTTAGGCCAGTGCTACGACCCCTATGCAGCCAAGGGATCTGTGCCAAGCCACCAAACAGCTGATAGCTCCAGGAACAGAGCCACAGTGGCCCTTCCTCCCTTCTCAGCCACCTATCCAGGCTTTGACATTAGTGCCACAGACAAGCCAAGTACCATGACCCAGACCTTCCCCAATGGCTCTCTTTGCCCCTGGGCTGGTTGAACTCCTGACATGTTGCTCTGCTGTTTTACACTCCATCATCCACTGTATTTGCTTGGCAGCTGGTGTCTGTGTGCTGTGGATGTATGGAGACCGCGTTGTCTTGACTGCACATGGCAAAGTAGCTGGATGGAATTCTGTATGATCGAAAGCCTCATACAACCTAGACAGGAAGGTAATTTCTTAGTGTCCCTCTCCCCCTTTTTCTTTTGTTTCATCACCTGCAGAGTGTGTAATGGGGGGTATATGGGATCGTGAATTTTGGGATGACTCTTATTTTCTCTCTTAAGCAATCCCACCCACTTGCAAAAAAATCCATATCGGTGCTCTCCCCTTATCTAAATATTATGACAAGAGTCCCAGCGAGTGCAGAAACAACAGCGTTGGCAGCGGCTCCAACCGCTGACTCATCCTGCAGAGAGAAATGGTATGGGGCCCAAAATAGAGAGAGTTTTTTTACTAGTAAGTCATGTTTCTCTCATCTAACTCGCAGGACCAAGGACGAGGGAGCCAAAGCCAAATTCCTGACTTCTAGGGATTTTCAGACAGGCTCGAAGTAACAGAAAGTCGTGACATTCTGATTCCTTATCGATGAGAGTCCAGATTTGAGTCTCACTCATTCTCTGCTAATAGGTCTCTATTTTCACGCACATCCAGGGCTCTGAAAGCAAGGTCACATTTTCACCGGACAACTGCATACTAAGGCAGAGGTGTCATCATAAACAAACAAGTAGGCGCTTTCAATCCTGCGTCACTAGACACGAGCTATATTGTCCTTGCTAAACAAACAAATAACTATGAACAATCCCAAAGTAACCCCGGCCCAGCTCTAAGTAACTTGATTAGATGCTGGGGCCCTTCAGAGGGGGAGGTGGGGAGGAATCCTTTTTTTCCATTCAACTCCAGCATAAGGGTTGGAATAGGCTCCATATCATGCCTCTTTTGTGAGAATCATCATAGCATTGGATATTCCAACCCCAGCCTGCTCCCAAATTCTGCCTGTCGCCATCCTGCCCCCAGAGAGTTAGCTCTGGCACAAAGAGTGTGCATGATCTGCTGTGCAGACATGCTGATCTCCCCATGTAGTGGAATCATGCCAGTTCAGCTGTGTCAGGGGCCTTCTGCGCCCACAGCCTATGGGTAGGGTTTGGACCCAGAAGGCTCTGCATAACTCCACTCCGCATAACTCCACTCTGCATAACTCACTCCACTCCGCATAACTCCACTCCTCCTCTCTTTTGCTCTCTTATCTTCTTCCTCCCGCTCTGGCTCCCATTGCTCAAACCAGTCCACCCCCTCCATCTGCTGCCCGCTCTGCACCCTTCTCAAGCTCCTGTCTGTGGCCAAGGGTTTCAGGCACAGGTGCCTCAAGTTAGACTACTATTGTCCTTACGTAGGCACCTCAGTGAGTGTCTGGAATTGCAAACCTGCCTAACTTTGAGGCATCCCCAGTTTTGAAAATCTTGGCCCATGTGCCTGCTCCCACTGGTGTGCCTTGTGCTCAGAACAGTCTCCCTGTTTTGTGCACCAGCAAATGACAACCTTTATCCAAATCCTGCCTGGACACACACTTCTCCTGAGAACTAGTTAAGCAAGAATCCACCAAAGATAGAAAACAAAAGTGCTCCATTTTGAGACTGGGCAGCAGGTGTATTGTGTATCTGAACTAAGTCTGCTGAGGCAAGAAGCATGCCTTCCTCTCTCTTTGTACAGACCGGAGCACCCGGCCAACCTGCAGTCTACTGCCGCACAAGAGCTGGTAAGTTACTGTTCCCCCTTACAATGCTTTTCTGGTATGTAGCTGAGCTGCCTTCATTTAGTGGTGAGCTACCAAAATGACGTTATGAATGCCCCCTGGATTAATATGCTATAAACTGAATATTCCCCATCCACTGCAAGGGAAATTAGTGCCATCAAAACTCTTTGTGACTAGGAATGGTTGAACCAGTTTAGTTAAAGTAAGAATCAACTCAAACCGTCTCCTCATATTGAAAATGAATCTTGCTTGTAGGTTTAAAAATACTGGTTTAACTGTTAAAATGACTGCATTTTATTTGGATTTGAACTTCTGAATAGCCCCTGAATTCCCAGGCAATACAGGGAATCTCACAAGAGCCTTTGCTCACACAGTTAGACTGAACCTATGGTGCCTGATAGGAACAGAACCTAAACATTGAGGTGTTTTGCCCATCATTATTCATTACCAAAACCCTTTGCCTCTATTCTGAATTGCTGTTACTGATCTCTTCTTACATTGTACTATTTTGCTGACTGTGCTACAATTTAATATCTCAGCCTAACAAGATCCTCCTGGGTTTGAATTCACAGCCATCTGCACATAGGGTCTGCTCCTGCACTTTCAGCACAGGCAAGGCTCCCCCTTGCTAAGTATTCTTCTTCTTTTTGTTGGATTGACTTCAATGAAAGTTTGCCTAAGTAAGGCATAGAAAATTAGACCCATAATGTACATGGATATGTTAAGCGTATACAGAGACAAAAGTACATGGTAAGGAATGAAGTGCTAACATTGTAGGCCAGGTCATGACTTCCTTCCTCGCATTAGTGAGCAGTTACATATGAGTAGTCCCACTGAAATCAAGGTTGCTACTCATGTGAGTAACTGCTCACCAATGTGAGTAAAGACTCACCATCTGCCTCTGTGGTAAAAACCATGGACATTTGTCGTTATTATTATAGGACTGTTTGCTCTTTGGAGCAGAGACCTCCTTTTTGTCGTGTGTGTGTGCAGTGGCTGGCAAATCCCAGAATGGGTCCTCTAGCCACTACCCAATGCAAATAAATAATATTAGTATAGGGAATAAAAAATTGGTCATTAACTTCTTGAACCACAGTTCAGTACAATTAGTGACTAAATATGACAATTTATATGAAACAACAGGTCACCTCTGAACGCACCTCCCATAAAACATAATGTATCCAGACTGCCAGTCCCTGTTCAGAAGACTCAGGGAAGCAGCATTGCAGCTTACTGTTAGAGAAGGTGATAGTAGGTCAAGGATAATGAAGAGGTCATTAAAGGAGCAGTGGAGGGGATCTTGCCTTAGCATTGATTTCACCTGCTCAACTTGTAGGTAGATACAGAACTTCAGTTTCTATGGTTTATGCTTCATTAAACGGCATTGATCACGCCGACAACAACAACAAAATTAAGAGACTCCAAATGAAAAAGAGTTAAGTGGGATTTGCTTGGTTTACTATTTCTTTTTCCCTTCATTTTTAAGGCCCCAATTCAGCAAACACTTCCATACATACTTAACTTTACATATGAAGTTAAAAGGATTGCTCAGATGTGCAAAGTTACGTATGTGCTTCAGTCTTTTGCAGGGTCGAGGCTATAACTTGTGCCTTTAGATCTTCATGTTTTGGGCCAGATCCTCACATGGGGTTAAAGTCTATGGAGCTACGCTGATTTACACCGGTTGAGGATCTGGCTTTTTTTTTTAATTTTTGGGGTAAGTTGCCAGTCAAACCTCTACAATTTTCCAAGAAATTATGGCAGTTTACTACTAAGAATATCATGGGCTTTTTAAACAATGAAAAGATTTTACATTTGAAAACATTCAGAATTACCATGTTTAGAGGGAAAACAAATAATGTAGGTCAGGAGCAGCAACAGCAGCAGCAGCAACAACAGCTAAATATATTTTTGCAATAACGGTTGATGCAAGCCAGTCAAGTTATAGCACGATGCTGAATAAAGCAACTATAGGCTTCCAGATGGAACTTTCCAAGTAAACAAATCCATTCCAGCCCCAGCTGTCAGAACATGTCTAACTGTTTATGAAGTAAGATTGGCACATCTCACAATGCCATCAAATCATGATTCTGCACAAACTCTTTGATGCAAAGGGTTTATTTCTTACCAGATTGGATCCCATCAGTACAGAATTAACTGCAATAACAACTCCAAAGATATAAATAAAGGGAACCATTTGCTAATATCATTTTGCTAGTTTACTCTATACCTGGTACACTGCATGCACTTTACGGTACCTTAAATATGTCATAACAGCATCAGCAACTATTTTTCCATGTGCCTTAGAAACAAGACATGCAAACATTCCAAGTGCACATTCTCCGTGTAAAGGAAAAGTAAATAAACCATGCAGCTATGATTCTTTCCAAACATTTCCAAATTAAATTTAACTGATAAGCATTTTTTAAAAAGTCTTGGTTAGTTTACAAAATATTATAGGAATAAGTATTTTCACAAACCATAACAAATTAATAGATTCTGCATAAGATAAGTAAATTTAAAGCATGCATAGTTGTATTACCTGATGGTTTCTGAAACAAAACAATAATGCTGCAAAGAGTTCTCTCCTTGGGTAAGTCTCAGTACAGAAAATCCCCTTTAGTATTCATCTCTTGCCTTTCCTTGGGTGCGCCGATCTACTGCAGGGCAGCTTTGAAATGCTCTCACTTTGAAGCCTGTAGTTTATTTCTGGATCACCCCATGATCAAGGATTACCAGCCAAAATATAAGTTGTTCTGAATCTCAGATTTCCTGCTTGAAGATGCACTGGAGAAACTTTTACCCATCCTAAAGTTCTTCTTTGTTGCTTTAATTTGTAGAACTTCACTTCATCAAGCATCCTGTAGCTAAATGACACAAGGTTGACCTTTCTATTACATCATTATTTATTGTCCTTGACAAGTAGACCATATATGGATATGTTTCTGAAACTTAAAGGAAAAAAAGAAATTGCAGTATATTTTTGATATAAAGTATGTGGTCCTGGAGGGTTTCATTTATTTTGGGGGAAAGCTGCAGGCAGATTTTCTGCTTTACCTGCTTTTGCTGCAGCTGCTGCTGCATAAACAGAATAGGGCAAACATGACAGTGGGTGCTTGCTGAGGTTTTACAGTGGTTAACGTATTTTAAGACTACTAGAATTTATGGAGCCCAAGTCTTTAGAACTTCCAATATATTACAAAAGCACTTCTGAAACAATCCCACACAGTATTCCATAAACATTTACTATAGAGAAAGAACTGCTCTAAATAGCATGTGAACATGAAGGAAAGTCCCATTACCTAGACAGCTTAAGGCCAGTGTATGTGCCATGGTGGCCATACACCTCATGGTGGCATTTAGAGCAAGTTGCTCAAGGAGCAGATAAATATTGATCCAGGTGGAGTCTAAAAGAAGAGCAGGTAGTCTGAAAACAACTAGGCATGGGTGACAGGGTGACCTGCCCCTTTAAGGCCTGGGAAACCTAAAGCCAATCAGTCTCATTCAATTAGCCCCACCCTGCCACACCTGGGCAGGATGTGGGCCTTAAAAGGAAGAAAGCTCACCAGTAGGAGGCTGACTAGGGAGGAGTAGACAATGAATGCTCCTACCTGAGGGATGGCTGAAGAAGAGATCCAGAGGTGAGCAGGGAGTCTTTTCACTGGAAGACCTGAGGGAAAACAGGTGTAGCTGCTAGGTTTCTTCTGGCAAGGGCCTGGGGAAGGAGCCTAAGTGAGCCTAGGGCCAGAGAGCAATGAGAGGGCCTAGGGTTTACCTGGGCCTCTTGTGGACCCCTTGAGCTATGGAGGGAGTGAAAAAAACTGTTCACAGACCCCACTGAGAGGGCTGTACAGGACCCCTGCAGTCAAGAGGAAGAAGGAATGCTTTGTGTCCTGATACAGAGGAGGAAGAAATATTTACAGGCCTGAGTGTAAGGCCTGGGAACATTGGTACCCCAGAAGAGGTGGGACTAAATGTGATTTATCAGAGGTCGAAGTCACTGAAGTAGCCTGGAAGGCATTCATAGTTGAGTGGAGTTGAAGAAGACCAAGGGGAAACTGAGGCACAGGTGCCACAATGCCCCGCTATGTTACAAAGGGCTGCTCTAGGACAGTGGGTTGTGTAACAGCATGTGTAAATGAATTAACATTGGTAGGTTGGCTGGAAGAAGAAAAATACCACTTGCCTGAGGCCAAGGAGGGTAACCAGTCATTTGTCCAGAAGATGCCCAAGTGCAATGACTGTGGAGAAAAGGCATGATATGAAATCAGCTGATACTGACACTCCTTCTCCTAGCACTTACCATGTTGGTTCCACTAGCGAAATGGAGGGCAAGCTCACGGTGGGTGGCCCTTTCCTCCATTTGTCAACACCTTGTTGAGCCTCAGCCTGGTGGCAGAGCACAAATACCCATCGTGCTGATGCACAGCAAGGTAGCCTTAGGTGGAACCACCCTAGTAATAGTTACCCTAGTAATAGTTACCACTTCTTTTTTCCTTCTCCCTGACCAGCTTGCTCAGGTGTGATGCAGATGGCCATCAAGTCATGCATCTTTCCTCTAAGCTGCTGTCCGGTGAATGTTCTGTCCTTCATGACTGTGTGATGTTTGAGGAATTCTTTTTTCAGTCCACATTTAAGGTATGCTGGCAGTCAAAGGAGCAATTGCTGCAGTGACACCCTAGGGTGTGACCCTTGCACACCTTTGACGATCATCTCAGCAATCCCTTCTCCACTTTTAAATGTAACCTAAAACCTTCTCTGAGTCGGTTTTAATTATAACCACTGTTCATTTAACATGTAGAGCCTTTCCCCTTCTTTTTCTTTACCCTTGTAAGACTGCCCTGCTGCTTGTTTCTCAGGCTCTAACCCTGCCATCAGATCACTTGGCTGTGTGGAGTTCCACAGAGTTCAATGAAACTATTCATGCACTTAGTCAAGCTCATGCTTGGCTGAGGTGGGGACAGAGTGCTCAGTACCTTGCAGGATGGAGCATTTAATTAGAA